GACAAAGGAGGCAGCCATGAAGACTGAGGGGGAGCAGCCGGCAAATGCCAACTCCAACGATGCTGATAAGATTCCCGAAGACAAAGGCTCAGGCAAGAAGAGCCAGCAACCAGCAAAGAACCAGACCTGGGAAGACAAAGACAAGGATGTATTAGAGAGGCTGAAGGCCATTGATGCACAGGATGCTGCTGCCAGGGCTGCAGCCGAAGCGATCCTGAATCAGGACCAAAAGCGGGATGACAAAGACAAAGACACAGAAGAGGGAGAACCGAAGAAAAAAAAGCTGACTCCAGAACAGAAGGCAGCCCATGCTAGGTACATGAGATTCTTCAGGAGTTTGAGCAGCATGAACAGTCCAAAAGAGGTGAGGAGAATGGGAAGGTCTGCCATTGGCCGTCACTTGGATGTTAATTATATTGGAATCATGCGTTGCATAAATCCCCTTCCAAACTCTCACGCGCACGCATGCCTGGTTTCACTGGAGTGGCAATGCATTTCTGGGGTTCCGATCCTACCATATTTAATCGTTGTCGACATGGATACGAGGTGGGAAGCTCATGACTGTGCTGTATGAGAGTTGGAATGAAGCCAATGGAAAGTGGAAGGACAGTAAGATATACCTCCAGGCCAAGACCAAAGCCTCAAACCGAAAGACTGGCAGAAGGATGTGGCTCACCCGAGCTGAAATGGTAATCAAGTTCGGAGAGCAGGGTGCAGCAGCCATCATTGAACGCAAGCTCGCTGATCCGGAGCTCCTGCGCTCGCAGGTGCGCCGACATCCGGAGGCGCCTGACGAGCCAAGCCTCACACAGTACTTGTGCCTGGACATGGACTCAGAATCGTATGAAGAGGAAGAGGTTGTCACGAAGCTGTTCAAAGCAGTCGATGCAGGGGGTGATGATGATAGTGGCCAAGACGATGAGTCCTCTAACAGCAGTTCTTCTTCTTCGACAAGATCTGCGTCCAGCTCTTCGAGCAAGAAGAAAAAGGAGAAGAGAAAAAACAAGACAAAGGAGGACCGAACTCTGATCTTTCATATATAATTTTTATATCTCGGATCGATGTTCGTTGGCACGACTTGACCCCGATTGACGCACGCGTGCGCATGCTTGTTTTTGCTCGGAGGAGGCGAAGACGGCTAAAGATGCTAAAGGCAAGCCTAAAGCTAAGGGTAAGCCAAAACCCAAGGCCAAGAAGGAAAAGAAAAGGAAGGACAACAAAAGGTCGAAGTCGCCGTCGGGATCTGAGGATGAAAGCGAGCGCTTGAAAGCCCAAGAAGCCACCAAAGAAGCAAAGAAGGCCAGTGTTTCGAACCCCAACACCTCCTCCCAAACATCCCTGCCTTCGCAGCCAAAATGTGGGCCATCCAGCCATGAATCAAGCCTGTCAAGGATGCAGTTTGTCGCTGCAGTTTATCACAGAATCGGATTCGGCTCATCGAAACACAGTTTCTTCATATAGGGCCTCTCATCCCACGGCCGCCTGTCCCTTGTGAAAAACGTGTCAGAACATGGTGCATGCATATGGTTGAAGCTTGTCCCTCCCATTTGGTTTGGCTTCGTGAAGCCAGTGGATCGATCGCCTCCTACTTCACCTGGCCAGTACCTATACTGGGTTTGGGCTTTAGCTGGAATAGATTAGATCGGATTAGGTTCCAACTTATATATGCGTTGCAACTGCAGGTCATTAACACAGCCGGCAAGAAGCTCAAGGATCTGAAGACCGTGCAGGAAACGATCTCAAAAATGCAACTCAGCAAAGTTGGGGTGGGTGCGACTGCACTCTGGGACCTGGGGTGAACACTGTACATAAATCGACCGATCGATCGATCCCCCGACTTTGGGCTGGGTTGCTTTTGATGCATGCGGGACCGCTTCAGAGACAAAGGTCGATACAACTTCACCACCCATTATCCTCTCTCCCGACCAGCCTTGACACACAGCGGTGCTATATAATTTGGACCATCGTAGGCAACTTCCATGAGAGTTTGTTAGGGTGGAGGTCACATGATCCAAGACCGTGCAAACCTGTGAACCAAACAAATGCCGGAAACCCATCGCATCCATCACCTGACGCTCGGAACCGCCCAGGAGTGAGAACCTTCGCAAAGCAGTCCAGGCTGACATTGAGGCCTGGTGCATGCAGCTGCTACGAGGCAGAATCTGTCTCGGACATTCCCCGATCAGGAGACATCGAAGAAGCTTCAACAGAGCCGAGATGCCCTTCAGAGGGGCCTGGACGATGACAAGGTGTTTTTTGGGGTCGAAGCTGGAAAACACTCCATTAGTTCTGCCGACTAAATCGATTACTGCAGTCATTCACACTTCGAGCTCTGTTTTGTATCACTGTCGGAGTTGGCTGGGTCAATCAACTGGGAACCACTCATTGTCATTCCGACGTTAAACCATAAAGTTCAGCATTCATGTCCATCTTCGATGCATCGAGGTCGAAGTCGACCAGTGGGAAAACCTCCCTCGGGCTGAACTTATCCCAGTCTGTCGACGCAGGCCTCTGCAGAACTGCTGAAGTTGGTGGGGTTCGTCCAGACCTGCATCCAGTCGTTTGACAACGCGATCGCCCCGTGTAAGGGGAAAGGCCGAGCTTCCAAGAAGTGATGCTTGAGCTGAGGTAGGGTATGTTTAGAAGCAGGGATGCGATGTCGGATTAGGTCATGCAAGGGCAACTTGCCTGGGGGTCACTTGGTAGCCATAGGGACTTGCCACACACCACAACCACAGTCTAAAGTAATTGGAATTCTTGTAACTTTGTGCATTCGCAGTGGGATCGAAAAGCTTCACTTCCATGTGCATCTGCATGTGTGCAATGTCCGGGCACGAGTGCATGGGCTGGCAAAATTGCCAGGCATCCGCCTAGTCCAAGACTCAACCTTGCAAGTCGATCCGTCGAGAAAACCAGTTTGACGGACGCGCGGATAAAAATCCCACTGGCCTCCAGTGTCGGATGCATGTGTGGCTCGCGGGTCGGGTCGGATGTGGGTGGCGTGCTTTGAGAAGGTTTGCCCAACTTTGTTGCAACTTGGGGGAATCAAAAACTTTGGCCCCGTCAAGAACCATGTAATTAAATCATGTTGTGGTTCAACTCTTCCGGTCAACGACCCACTGGAATAGAGTACTGCACTGCTGTCCAGTTTTTGTGTCCCCACCCAAAACCAAAGCTCGAGCCATTTCGAGCCCGTCTCGGGGCACCGGCCCGGCGATCGCAGGGAGCAACGGCCCCCCCAAAGAAAACAACAATTAATGCATGCATTGGCAGGGTTGTAATTTTACTCATACCTGAACATGAAATGATGATTGTGGGGGAAGGGCTACGTGCTTAAGTAAGTTTGATCCTCAATCAATTGATCTACCGGACCTATCATATGCCTTTCCTCTTCGACAAAAAAGGAAGCGGGCCCAAATTCAAAACTGACAAGTTTATGGGGGTTGTGGCCCAAGTTTTGGCAGCATCACTTCCTTGAATACGATTAATCGTAAGGGTTTCGGGGCCTCCTTTCAGCCGGATGCATCACGCGCAGGTGCTAGCTCCAGCGATGAGGGGCCAAGCACGATCATCACAGATGCCAAATTCAAAATTGCTGACCAGGCGCTGCTCACGGAATTAAATTGTGGCTGCTGTTGTCATTTTTGTGGTACATGTTTTCAAGACTGCAGCCCCCGACCTACGGAGCTTCTTTGAGGTTAGTTTGCCAGGGTAAACCCTGTCAGGCAGCAAGTGTTGCTTCAGTAATGGCTTCCATTGCTGCTGGCGCACAGGATACAGTTTTTGTGTTGGAAAATGCTTGATGCTGAAGGGCATTGATTGGGTGCCACCTTCTTGTTTCCCAAACAAAGCAAAACAAACTGGTCGGCCCAAGTCGGCCCTGGCAGGATGGGAGCGCATCGATGGGTGTGCAAGGCCTTGGCCGCCCTGCTGCAGCTCAAAATGCATGCCGAGAGTTCTGGAAGTTCTGCAAGCTCCCTTTGGTTCTTTGGCTTTAGAACGCGTCTCAAGTGTAGTTTTTTTGACATCCAAATTGGAGGAAATTTTATCCGGATATATCAGGATTGTGTTAGCGGTTTTGAAATGGAAGCGAAGGAGCCTTACTACGTGACCGTGCCGGCAATTGACCCTGACGACCACCGGCAAGTTATAGCCCTGCGACTGCCAATGCTCGATGTACACGATGTTTTGGCTTACGTGCATAATGAGGCAAAGCTCAGAACACCTCCTGCCCACATAGACTTTTTTTGGCGTTGGTGCAAGCACGCAAACTGTGGCTTCGCTCGACTGGGGGGCCCGGGATGCGTGCCAGTCGGCCTTTACTGCGACGAAACCAAGTTTGGAGGCAACTTTTCAGATGAAAAGGTACTTGGGGTCTTTATCAACCTCATTCTATGGAGGCCACGCTCCATCAGATACTCACGATTCTGCGTTTTTTCGTGTAGATCTGCACTCATCCTCGGCACCAAAACGCTGTATCCTGTCATGGAGCGGCTGACGTTTGGTTTCCAGTTGGCCTTCCGCGGAATTCGCCCTGATGGTTCACCTCTTTGCCCCGATGGCACACGCTTTCTATGTGTTGAGTTGAGAGGGGACATGGGCTGGCATGCCATGATCTGGCAGTTTAAGAACCGTTGGCAGGCTACGAAGGTTGGTGTGTGTCCTTTCTGCAGTGCTCAGAGCCAGGGCGACAGTTTGCTGTATACGGAGGTGGGAAGTAATGCATCCTGGCGGCCCACAATCTTCACGGACTTGGCTGCATGGGCGGAAGCGGTCCTTCCACAGGATGACCTTTGTGGCTTGCACGTGCTTCAAATGAATATTTTTTGAGCTCGTTGTTGTTGAGTGGGAAGCCTCATATTAGAATGCGTAGTTTTTGCTAGCCGACTGTGAGGCCCACTGCTAGGGCTTCCTGGCTTTGCAATCGACACTCTGAAAATGTGCTCAATGCACAACGTGAACCTGGGCATTGCGCAGATCTGCAATGGATCGTCTTTGTCGCCTGCATGCCCAAGGATTTTCAAGAACTGCTTTCTGTTTGTTCATTTGGTTTCAGGGGAGCTTTTCACTGCCAGGGGCACATTGTTTCTTCAGGGTTCTTCTCATCTAAGGGTCACCTTGGTTCTTGGTGGCTTTTATGGCAACCCCAATGATAGTATTGCTGTGAATTTCCGGCGTGCATACCGGCACTTTCAAGCTTGGCGAAAGAGCAAGCGGGTGAACATCACCCAGGGCGTCTGGAAGTATGGTTACGCAACTTGGCTTGAAAATCCGAGAGGGCACGCAGCATTATATTTTTTTGGCCCTGTCCAACTTAGTTTTCGACTGTTTGGGAAAAGTCGGGCGCTCGAATTCCTGAGCGATGTATCAAGTGATCGAGGTGATCAAGGCGAATGGGCTTGTCTGCATGACCCACAAAGCCTTTAATGGACGAGTTCTGGCTCACTACTTCGCAGATGTGCTTGCGGAGGCCTTGACCAGTGCAGAGTTCCCCTCAGATTCAACTCTGCGCTTTGCTGCTGCTTGCATGGCTCACCTTGCAAAATTTTTCTACCTCCTCGAGGTCTCTGGTCGGTACTTGACGGAGGCTAGGGCTGAAGAGATCTATCAAACGGGGCTGGCCTTCATGAGGTGCCACTTGCAGCTCACCAGCATGGCGATGCAGTCGCTGCGCCACTTGCCTTCTGGGCAAGCACTTTTCTTGTGGACTCTTCGTCCAAAGCTTCACTATCTGGAGCACCAACTGATTGATTTAAGGCGGACTCGACTAAATCTTCGTCATCACCATTGTTATACCGATGAAGATGGAATGCGCTGGTTGAAGCAAATCTCGAGGAAGGTTAAGCGGAAAGGGTTTGAGCACGCAGTCTTACGTATCAGCCGGCTCAGGCTGTCTCTAGCGCCTTTGAAGGCAAGATCGCTCAACGAATCTGCGCGAAAGCGCAACAAGTGAGAAAACAAGTGATGCTGCCAATCTGGGAGTCATGTTGGGATTTGCTTTTATGTTGAAACATGTTGAAACCAAAAAGGTCTTTCTTTCTACGAAAGGTCTTACTTTTCCACGTCTTAGACCAAAGGTCTCGAAATGTCAGTCCCTCGGACTGACCAGGTATTGTCTCAACTGGGCAAGCTCACTGTGGGAGGAAAAACCGTGTTTTGAGATTAGCCCCTCTAAAGAATGAACGTTGCAACGTCGGCGTTATTCTAGCCGTCTTGCATGGCACTCCATCCTTGCTACTTCATCCTGATGGTTCGGCCAGGTGGAGTACTGCTACCAAGCCCATGAGGAACAAAACGCAGGTCTTCGCGCAGGGGTGGGCCAACCTGAAACACGCCCACTCGCAGGGTGGGTTTGGGCGAAGGCGAGGCCGAGGCTCACAAAATCGACTCAAGTGATGAAGTAATGGCAGTAATGGCATGCGATCACATGTAATCACATGCACTCGCATGTACATGCACGTAGTTGCAAGATGCGGTGTGCCATTGGCAAGCTCCAGCCCGTGCTCCTCCAAAGTGCTTGGCAAATGTTGGCTCCATTCCCAATTGCTGGTGACGGTGGCTGTGCAACCTCAGCCGGGTTTCACAGACGCAGCGGGGAGGATTTTCGGCCTTGTGTAGTATCTCTGCCTGCTAGGAACTGATACGTGCAATAGCATGGATTACATTTGCGGGGGATGTTTCTAGGCATTGCACCAGGTAAGTCCTTTTCTCCAAATCAAAGCGCGTGGCATGTTGACCAGGGCTCTGAGTGTTGACCAGTCCTATTGTTTTTTTCATACTGGCTACCTCCCAGACTCACCTTCAGCCAGTCCCACCATCAGCACCTGGATCCCCTAGCCCCCCCCGTTCTGGGCCCCAAGAAGTGGTGCATCCGCTCTCTTTTGGTGGAGTCGTGTCGAGCAAAAGGTCAGTTATGCTAACTATCTGAATACATACCTGAGCACCTTCTGAAGTTGATTGAGTGGATGGCGCGTGAACATGTGCCCCATCTTCTTGGAAGCCTCGGACGTGGCCACACGTCCTACCAACTGCCGCAAAGTAAGGTGGTCCAACTGCACCAGTCGTCCGAGGGTCGGCTTCTGCTCCCGCGAGCTTTCCACGAGCTGCCCACAGTGGTCGACTCCATCGGCCACAGCTTTTCGGATCCTTCCGGGCTGGGAAGCCTCCAAGAAGCTTCTCATATTACAATTGTCTTTATTGCATTGTATACCTGAGAAGGGCATAGGTTTGGGACGGGTCCTCTTTTGTGTCTCGATGTCGGGGCGTTGTGGAGGGGAGAAAAGGCACCCTTGTAGTATGGGGAAGGTTTGGTATGGTGTGTTGGTCTATGTTTGAAGTGAGTTGACGGCTGGCTTTCGTGATTAGATATCCCCTGGTTCTCAGTTGATCTTGGAACGTAGTTTGGAGTAAGTGCTATGGTTTCCAGCAACAGCTGGCCACTTCAAATGGCGCCAAACTGCCAACCTCTGTGGTATGGATGCAAGGTGCAATCTGATATGCACAAAATAGTTCAATAACTGCACAAGATTACACATGTGATTGGTAGAGCAAGGAAATGGCACAAACTCAAGACGATGGTCTATGTCCACGTCTCACAGTGCTGCTCGCACGTGGAGTGTCCATTTTCCGGACGTTTTGTCGACCCACGGGAGAAGTGCTTCACATGTCATATGGGGTGCCCTTTTGAATCCAATAACTAGACCTTGCCACGGAGAAAAAAGGGCACCCCTAAGCAATTCAAAGCCTTCCGCCTCCAACGCTTGCCCGCTCTTCTCTCTCCTGCCCCCCCAACTCCAAATCGTCTCGCTGACCTTCCACCTCCAACGCTTGCCAGCTGCAATCTCTCCTCTCCCCTGCCCTCAACAACTCACGTGAACTCCCACTTCAGTCCGGTTCTCCCGCAGGCCCTCAACAGATGGCATCATGCATCCCATGTGCGGTGCCCTTTTCAGTCCAGCAACCACACCTTGCTACGGATAAAAAAGGGCACCCCTAAGCTATTCAGGACCTTCCGCCTCCAACGCTTGCCCGCTGCAATCTCTTCTCTCTCCTGCCCTAACCCCCCAATCCACGTGAACTCCCACCACGTAGGGAATGCCCTCTTCAGTTCGGCTATCTCGCAGGCCCTCAACAGATGGCATCATGCATTCTCTTCTCTGCTTTGCCCTCAACAACCCCCCAATCCACGTGAACTCCCACCGCATAGGGAGTGCCCTCTTCAGTCCGGCAGCAACGCTAAGCTTAGCTGCAGCTAACCTATTCTCCCAAGCCCCTCGTGATGCCGATGATGCACTCTTCGCCGTCAATTACACCACCGGCATCACAACACCCCTCAAACCACTCATTTTTCACTACCAAGTGGCCGACCTCTTTTTTTTCGCTCTCCCCCACCAGGCTCTGGGTTCACCTCTCCGAAATTGGCTCTCGCGACCCCCCCCACACCCCCTTTACTCACTTCGTTCGCTCCAACAACCTCAAGCCCTGCCTACCGGCTGGCTTTCGTGATCATATTAATCATTGCTGTACATTCATATCTTCAACTGCCTATTCAACTCCTAACTGAAAACCCTCACTCTCTGCAATTACTTTGCAACCACTTCAAGGAATGGACATGAATGGACCCTTGAAATGGCACCACTGGTCCGATCAACTTATGGAAGCTCCAAAGGGCTCCATGCGGGGCTACCGATCCGACGCGAAGGGCCACGGCACCTTGGCTCTTCCGCGGGCTCTCCCTCCAGCTGGAGAAGAAGTCATCTAAGCGCTGCTGCCTCCGAAAAAGGTGAGAACAAAAGCCGGGCTGGATGCACCAAGAAAATGGGAAAGCGGACAACAAAAAAGACACATGCACTAGTGAACTATCGTCGCAAGAATATGTCTGTGTTACCGGGCACGTCAACACTGCCAGAACTGGGTGTTGGAAAGTGGTGCAGCGCCCTGTTCAGCACTCTGATAGCCTATGGACACGGTAAAACTCTTGACGGAAGTCGGAAGATTGAGAAATAGAGCTCTTTCATGCTTAGGGCAGGCGAGCGAACAACGAATGCCCTGGAATGACCTCAGATAATACAAATGTGGCATCTGCTGGCCAAAGAATGCACCCACTGCCCCAAGTCAATATGTATGAACCTATGCCATTGCGTTCTCAATGCCCTACCTGAACCTAGGCCATTGCTTCGTCCAGTCCTGCCCTTTAGCCTATAGAAAATGGCCTCTCAGTTTTGCAGTTAGGGTTCTTGATCAAATCTCAGAATTACCATGAATTACCGCATAGTTTTGGCCGACAACATCGAACAAACACAATCTGGCCAGGTGAAATGCCAGCAACTTCCTGCCATCTGCCCAGCCTCTCTGCCAGGGCCTCAGTTGGTGGGAACACCTCTGGAGACTGAGATAGCGCCTGTTGCAACGCCGCTCGGAGGTAGCACACCTGGTGGTGCGCGCTTCAGCCGCTGTTGGGAGTGGTGAGTTGGGGCCAGGTCCATCTTCCCAGAAAAGGCCGCAAAGTTCGGAGTTGGGGTATAGAATGATATAGATGAAAAGGCTGTGCTTTCAACTATCTGAGTCCAGTCTATCTAGCTTTCCGGACTACCGAGGTGTGAGGATGATCGAGTTACAGCAGTTGAACCTTCCGGCAGGTTTGTTCACCACTGCCACATCAGGCGTTCTCGAAATTGTTTGGTGAATCATCTGGGGCTGTCTGGGGCACAAACAGAACATGCCCAAACAGTAGTTGTCTGCGAAGGGTTCAAGAACGGGTCTGTTTACATGTGTGGCCTCCGCAGTCGCGCAGGGATCGCAGTTAGGAGGGGGGCTCCTCTTGTCAATTGGAGTGCATGTATGGCATAGTGGCATAGTGTAACATAAGTCTAGCCTCAGTGGAGCAAGTACTGTAAATCTCTACCACAAAATGTGTTGGACATTGCTGTCATGTCTATATTATTCTATATTACATATATATATATACATAGCATATATTGCTACTATATTACTATCTATACAATAGTATAGTCTTTGTCCGGCGTAATTGATCGACCAAGTCCCTCAACCACTGAATCATATACCATAGTCCCTGACGCCTCTATCCATACACGGTTCTCTGCACAGATCCTTTTCACGGTTCGCAGAATGGAGCCTCCTGGAAAACTACTAGTAGGGGCTCCTGGCCTTACTACTAGGAGCAAGGACGCTACTAGGGGCTCCTGGCATCGCTACTAGGAGCATTCTTACTACTAGGAACAAGACGCTACTAGTAGTTTTTAGCTGCTCCCAAACCCCACTGCCTCGTAGCTGTGGCGCCTCAGCATCTCCACCACGTTGCGCAGTCGTCGACTCGACGGTCGACTTGCCGCGCCCTGGCGACACATGGGGGGGTCTTCCTTTGGACCAACGGTGGTCAAACGCAAAAAAACGCAAACAGTAGATCAGTGATCACATGGATGTGCCTCTGGCTTCACTCACCTTTGTCATTTCTCAACATGGCACTCCTCCAAAGAAAACACGCGCATTCTTTATTGAACGTTCCAACGTGCACATTAGAACATGTATCCAAACGTGCGTATTTACTAGACACACACCTCGAGCAAAACGTTCTGTACCAAAGGAAGGTCCAGGAAGGAAGTGGCACACAGCCTGTAAGCTACTTTTCACAAACAAACAAAGGGGCAATAGGGACAATGAAACTCCGGGAGACCAGAGTGCACAAGACCAGTAGACATCTTAGTGTCCAGAAAGGCAAAATGGTACTGGTGAGTCTCCGCCTACGAGTAGCTCTCCTCATCATCTTTCGCTCGCTTGGATTCCCTGAACCCTCTCCAAGCATATCCTATCCGAACCCGCCCACCCCCCCCAAAAAAGAAATGAAAGACCACATGACCGCACCATCTGTAGAGCATAGAGTGATCAAGTTTAATCCAGATTCCTCAGGTAGAAAGAGCTTCACATGTTCACCATTGTTCACCATCGTTCATCTCTCTCTGGATTTTCGCACCGTTTCACTCCCCACAGCAACATGCTCCACATGGATTTCCCGGGCCGCTGTCTTTGCGGAGCCCCAGGGTAACCTTGGGGTCCTAACAAGTAGCTGTGCCTCTGCTTGATTTGACTCCACACCCCAGGCCACCCCCCCCCAACCGTCCTCGCCTGGTGTGGCCTTGGCAAGGCTCCACGCAGTCCTTCCTCCGCAGCCATGCGCTTCACCGGCTCCTGGGGGTCGAGCCCGGTGGAACTGCCTGAGCCTCTTGGTGGGCGAAGTGAATTTCCGGGCTTGGTAAAGGTCACCAAGGTCACTGGATGGGGACTCCCAAAAAAGGTGCCTTTGAAGAAGCTGGCGCATGGAATCCATTTAGGACTTGGCCTGGTGTGTGAACCGTTAATTGTTGACTCTAGCCCGGTGGGAGGAATGGCTGCACCTCTGTGCGAACACGGTGTGAAGGGCAGCAGAGATATCAATTCCCTGCCGCATGGCACTTCAAATCCAATGTTGATAATTGCTTGAGCCACTTGGTATTTTTGACTCTGAGATACTGCAGGCACCACACTGTTTGAAAGCTCGATTTTGGTTGGCCTGCTGTTGATGCAAGAATCATGCACCACCTGGGTGAACACAACATGGCATTTATAAGCGATTCAAGGCAGTGGAGGTTTTCTTTCAGATCAACAGAAATCAGCTGCATACTGTCAGCCAGGCCTGCAAAGCAACCAACTTCTCCTGCCCGAATTGGATTGGAACTACAGTACCCCAATCAATTGGTTGGATCACGCTGGATGCTTCATGGAACTTAAACATGAGTTGGCTTGGCAGTCATGTTCCTTGAAACGAGCCGGAAAAAAACCGTCTTTCCGAAGCATCGTCTTTGCTATCGTATCTAGCTGCCCCCCCTGTCCCTCTGCACTGCCCCCTGAGGGCGGTCCAGTTCAACTTGACACCTTCAAACATCTCCATCATCAACTCGTCATCCGATGTCATCTGATGTCCCCAGCCCTGCATCATCCGTCCAAGCGCCTCGCTTTGGTGCCCCAGGTGCCGGCAAAGGGCATCCAACATCAAGTCATGACCTTCATTGAAGTCGTGCCGGCTCGATCGCGCCGATCGATGCCGATCAATTGAAAGGCTATTTTGGGACTTGAGAAGGCAAACATGATTCTTTATATCATTTAATTGGGAATTTTGTGGAATGAAGCACAAAACCTATGAGGGCGGCTTCAACAAGGGAGCCACCCAAACTCAGCCAGAAAGCAAACGACTCTTCTCTGCAAACCACTGTGAGCGCAGGGCTCTATATCTTCACCTGCATCACTGACGCCCTTCCGATTCCTCCCATCTGTTTCAGGTAACTCACAGAACTCACTCGCCCGCAAAGCAGAAGAAATATTGATGGACACAGTTGTGGGGTCACTGATATCACCTGATATCACATTCTGCCTCCCAAATCCATGGTGCAGGTGAAACCAGGCGCCACCGAAACTCGGAAAAAAACGTGATGTTCGCCGTGCAATCGTGGAGGTGGTTGTGCAAATGTGTGCTTCCTCAAATGGTTTGCGCCCTGAAAGCGCAATTATAGGAATTAAGGAAATAGCAAACCAACATTATAATATCTTAGACAAAACGGTTAAAGACATATTCAGACATATGGTTAGTTTGTCTTTTCATGTCTTTGCATTCAATATGCTGTTTGCTGTCTCTCGCTGTGCTGCGCCTCGACTTTGATACTAAGATCTGCTACTTGTCTCTGACAATGTTCTGGTCTGATCGCTGTACCAAAGCTTCTTTGCAGTCCCTGCTTCTTTCTTGGCGCTGGTGGCTAAGCAGCATCCGCGGCGATTGGGACCAACGAGATGCTGCATGCCTTCAATCGAACTTGCGACTTGCGACAGCTACTCCAAAATTCCATGAACATTCGGCTGCTTGAGATGTGCGCCATTGTGAGTCCTCTTATCGATGCCCAGATTAATATAATGCAACTGACTGACTGAAATATACTCATTATAGCATTCATGAGGATATATGTCCTATACACTGGCCTAAAACATCATCTTTCCCCAACCAGTTGGCATAGGTTGGGGCTGGTGGCCACTGATCTCGGCAAGAGATACGAGCGGGAGAACACGCGTACGAGATGGGTTTACACGGACGGATCATTTGTGCCATCCGTCCACACGTCAGAAATGGTGAAACCATCGAAGCCAACACCATCCAACACCCAAAACAAGCATGACAAACATTATAGGCAACAGTCGAGTCCAGCGTTCCTGTGCCGCGTCAAAGCCATAGCTTAAAGGGTAAACATTGCTAACAACCCCCACAACTATAACCTTATCAAAGTTCCATGGTGCCACGGCAAACGTTTCGCTCGTGGTCTGAACCCGATTTTCGCGCGACGTCCATGAAGACTGTGCCTCCCTCAGATCAGACCGCCATCCTGGCAGGCGGGCTGAGCCCGAGATTCCACAGGCTTCTCGAAGATTCTCATGAACATGGCAGCATTCCAACTATACAATCATACAAACTTGCCAAGCTAACTACTTGTCTTCAAAACATTTCAATACATTTACAGTAGAATCATTTAGAAATACCATGAAATACCTAGGTCACTTTACAATTCAATAAACAGCTTACATTTACATGCTATAAGCCTCATTGACTCATGAGGCCCACCCGCTGGCGCCCATCCAATTCGTGGCACGGTCTGCTCGCTGCTCCCCCCCCCCGCCGTCGCGCGGAGCTTCCAGGTTCGGTAGGCCACGGCTGCGGAGCCCGGCGCCTGGAAGTGGAATAGTCCACCTGTTCTTAAAGGAAAGGAGTCTACTTACTAAGTCTGCCACCTGTCTTACTCTCACTTCATTGGTCTATTTACCAAGCTAGATCTGGGACCATTTCCACTTCCGTGTGCTAGCGGGTCAAAGAATAGTATCGGTAGCATGTCTGCATGTAAATGGGTCCACTTCAAGGACACACATGATGAAATCAATGAACACATATTTAACAAAACATCAATACATGAACGGCCCCCCAAACTCCCAGATGTGTCCAAACCCCTTCACCTCCAGCTCTCTCCGTCCCTCACCCCGCGCGGCGCGCGCGGCGCACGTCGTCCGACTTGGGGCCCCCTGGCAGCGCCCCAAGGTCTGGCCAAGATTTGCCTCGGGCGCCCGCTGGAGTGGCCAAGCACCGCGGCCCGGAACCGAACCGAAACTGAGATGAGCCGTGGGTCGGTTGGTTTAGAGCCGTGGTCGGCCGGAAAAGAGGCAGGATTCACCATGGTTTCACCATGTTGCTGGAGTCGAGTGGGGAACTACAATCCTACAAAACGGTGAAAAAGGTAATCCGCTGAGTGAGTAGGACTGAGGCAAGTCATCTTCTCAACCACAGGCAGTGTTTTTGACATGGCGAGAGCCACCTTCTTCGTGTTCGGGAGACCCCAATTGCTAACTGCCAAAATCAAAAAGTGCCCATCTATACAGCAAAAGCCACTGACCGGCGTTTGGGATGAAACATGATGTGGGACATATTCAACGGACAACTTGAAGGCTTCTTCTATTTATCAGGCCTAGCGAAGAAGGGCATCTTCTGTACAGTGATACGGCCCTAACCTAGTACAAAGCACCAAGACCCATCATTGGCACAAAAAGATCCAAGACTTGAGCGCTCGTGGGTTCTAAGTCGGAGCTTTCCACCCGACTGCGCGCTGAAGATTTATATACGGATCAAGGCGCCTGTGCGTCCAATACCAAAAATCACGACGAAGGCCAGAACTGGGGTTCCTTTCTTCCTCTCACTGGACGAGGGTGCATTGCCCCATCTCCCTTCAAATGAAGATCCGGATTCGTGCCGCGAACTCGGTCCCCAATGGTCTGGTGAGTTCCACCAGCGGATTGGGCCCCAGAGGCGGGATGCGGGGCAAAATGGCACGCTGTGACATCTCCATCGCGCGGCCATGCTGCCTGCGCCGGTCCCAGTGTGGATGGGTGAGATGGCCCCATTTCAATTGGAAGTCTGGAGGAGTCTGTGCAACCAACACGGAAGCGCGTGACATGGTTTCAGGATGCGAGCCCTCTCCCAAAGTGCAAGTGACACTGCAAGCCAGCACAGAACGGAGACATGACACGCTTCGCCATATGATATATGATCGTCCCTTCTTCCAAAGGGAGGTTTGGCAGGATCCACAAATTCAAATGCTATCCCTCCAAGCTGATCTGTCCCAAATATTCGAGACCCCAAAAAGACGGGGGTGTTTGCTCTATAGAGTAGACACAACCCCCAAAATGTCTCTTAGACGGGGGTCCCTATAAACCTCCTTTGCCATCTACTTACGACTCTATCCACATATAGTCTTTTTCCTTTTGTTCCATTTGCCAATGGGGGAGAAACGGGAAAAACACGCCCGCCTGTCGTGCACTGGGGACTCGAAATGGGCCAGTTCGTGGGCGAAGCTCACAGTCCAAAAGCTCACCGCCTTCAGCCGCGCAGGCAGTCAGAAAGGCCAGGAGTCCAGGAGTATAGTGTATAGTCATGCCATCGGCCAGCAGTTTGGGGTTTTCTTTGTTCATGTGGGGGTCCAACCGGTCACACACGGAAGCAAAACAGGAGTCTATAGTTGAATGACTGTAGCAACCTTCAATATGGCCGTACACATACACACACAGAGTGCATGCATGCATTAATATTCAAGAATATGTGGCTATGTGTGAATTTTTGTTTTAACACCTTCTATGCTTTCTCTATCTTTGTCTGATGAGCCCCTGAACCTGATCTACCTTCCCATACTAATAGCATCTTTTGGCCGACCGAACTCATCTACCTCACTCTACCTGCCACATAACCCAAGGCAACCCATTGATCCTTCGGATTGAAGTTCTGAACCCGGTCAGCAGGATCCTGGATCTCCAAATAAATCGGCCTGTGGCTACGCCCATTCCCGTCGCAAAATGAGTTACCTGACTCCCAGGCCTGGAGGGTCGAAACATGTAGAAACACCATCTTGGAGATACCAAAGGGAGGATCGATTGGATCTCTTAGGATTTGATGTTGCTTTTGGATTTCATCACAAGTGCATCGCTAGTAGTAACAGGTGCCTTACTAGTAGTAACAATGTTTGCTTCAATGATCAGTTGCCGACCTGGCCTTTTAGCTGTGCCGACCGCACCTGGCCCTGTGACATCGGATGAGAGAGTCAATCGCGAGTGTTCCGCCGCGAGGCAAGCACCTCCTCCCAGCTCTGGTCGTGACATTCCTGGAGTCGCGAAAGAACACTACAGAAGAAACGAAAGGAACAACGCAGTAGCTGACTGGCCTCGAAAACAAACAATTCGCTTGCATTGCAATTTGTTGGATGTTTTAACGTAATGCTCGAAAACCATCCAATCTCAGCATGCCCAACTATTGACTGGCGAGTTGAATGATCAGATCTTGGCCTAAACTTCGAAAGGCCAACTGGGGGAGAAAAGGCATCTTGACGCCATCCATCGTTACAGTGGAATGCATTGAAGCAGTCATGACGGACCACAGGAGAGCATCCTCTTTTCGCGCATTCTTTTTCTCCACTAGACTGACTAGACTAAGCAACTCTTGTTGCCCTTTTGCCGGTGAAGCCTTGTGCCAGCATCGCTATTCACATCTCCATCCGCGACTGGCGTGAGGCGTATGCCGTATGCCCATGTTTTTGCAAGATTTGCGGACCAACAACTTCAAACCTTTGCAGCGGGTCAGCCTGATCAACATCCGACAAGATCGTTTGGCTCTGACTACTTCCGCTGAAATTTGCAGTCTGACTCCGGAACGTGGTAAAAGGAGTTGCGGATCTTTGTGGCTCTAGTTACTCCATGTTACTCTTGCGTGCCCGAACCTGGTTGTATGTTGTTGTCGTCTGATGATCGAAGCATCTCTGTCTCCAGGAGCCCCGAATTGCACACACATGGGTAGCCGGATGGCACAAAAAGGATGCACGGTACATGCTTTGTGCGTGATGGTGCATCCTGGTGCTAGGACATCCAACATCCATGTGGATGTTACAAGACTGAGGGAAAAGAACATCCTGGGTAAAATGAATGGCAGCCGCTTCTTGGATGTCATATGATGTCAATCTTTCTGCTAGAACAGTTTGACCGAAGGAAGGAAGGCAACTCGCCCAGGTCGGAAGATTCGCGGATGGTCCATCCCGGTCCAGCGATGGACGTGGCGGCAGGACCACCGGTGGCCCAATAGGCTCAAACCGGCTAAGATCCCAGCAAATGGGCAGCTTTTCCTGATGTTAGATGAGTTTGAACACTTGGCAGGTCCGTCACGCAACTCTACAGGAGAAAGGAACAGTAAACAAATGCAATAGGGTCTTTGGTTTGAAAGTCATACCGTGTCATACCCAAGCCTACATGGCCCCAGCTTCGGAAAGTCAAGGTAAGAGTTTGGCAAGAACAAAATCCACCCGTGTTTAAATCTGTTGCACGGTGCTTCCAAACAATCACCACACACACCTATCACATATCGATATCAAAAGGATTGCTTCTATTGGCTTAGGTCAGCTAGCTCGGGCTCGATCCGCTTCGATTCCAGCCATTCCAGCGCTGTCTCCGCAACGAGCGGCTGGAGTCGATCTGTCAACTCCGCTGGGCACGTCCCACGGTCTCGTCCCACGGTCTCGTCCAAACCGGTCTTCTTGTTAATAGTAGTGCCAGGAGCGTGTAGCAATGCCCTAGTAATCCTAGTAGCTTCTGGTTTTCTAGGCACTCTAGTCACTCTAGTCAGTCATTCTAGTCCTCGTCTTAGGTCACTGGTTTCCTTCTTTCGCCGATCGCACCGGTGACCGGTCACGTCTCGAGGGTACCCCCGGTTCCCTGGCTTGGCCGTGAGGGCGGTATTCCATGGGCCCAACTCTCAAACGACGATCTCATTCAAATGATCGGCTGATTGGCAGTTGGAGCCGTCCTGCCAAGTTGCAGGCCACAAATTGATGTTGAAAACATGACAACATGTTTTCATCATGGCGTCATGACAGGCAAATCCACATTGACAAACTGAAGGCTGCTGTCACTTTCCACCACACCAGCATTGTATCTCCAAAGGCTTCGGGATTGTGTATGACACCACATGTGTCCAGCCAGCACCGTCCTTGTAGCAGTGAAACCTCATGTTCAAGACTGCAAAACGGCAGCTATTCCCACATCATCTTAAAGCGATACCATCTGCCTTATGTAGGTTGGCAACCTACAGATCTACAGCCTATTTTACGGGCATCATATGCATTCTCAAAGCCATCGAAATCCAAATTGGCAACCCACTGTCTTAAACCGATACCATCAGCATTGTCAAAGCTTCTGACGTCAGTAGGCTGGCAATCTACAGCCTATATACGTGCAGCATCATATGAATCATATGCATTCTCAAGGCCATTGAAATTCATATTGGCAACCCAAAGTGTCTTAAAACATCTTAAACCAAAAACATCTAAATTGTCAAAGTTTCTGACGTCTAATTATAGGTTGGCAACCTGCGTATTTTATGGGCATCATATGCATTCTCAAGACCAATGAAATCCATGTTGGCAACCCAGAGTGTCTTAAAGCGATAGATACCATCTAGATTCTAGATTGTCAAATCTTCTGACGTCTGTAGGTTGTTGGCAGGCTACAGCCTAGTTTACGGGCATTATATGCCTTCTCAAAGCCATTGAAATCCATATTGGCAACCCACAGTGTCTTGAACCGATACCATCTAGATTGTCAAAGCTTCTGACGTCTGTAGGTTGGCAACCTACAGCCTAATTTACGGGCACCATGCCATTGAAATCCACATTGGCAACCCAGTGTGTCATAAACCGATACCATCGTATACATTGTAAAAGCTTTTGACGTCTTTAGGTTTGCCTACAGTCTATTTTATCGGCATCATGCATGCAGCATATGCATTCTCAAGGCCGTTGAAAGCCATAGATTGCAGGTTGGCATTCTCAAGGCAATTGAAATCCATGTTGGCAAACCACTGTCCTCTGACAGCTGTAGGTTGGCAACCGTCAGCATTATTCGCATTCTCAAGGTCTGAGAGCCATAGGTTGACAACCCACAGTATCTTCAGTCACTACCATCTATCTCATCAAAGCTGATTACGTGTGACGTCTGTGGGTTAGTGACATCTGCAGGTTACTCTCAATATATTATAATACCAGAACAGCACACCATCTAGCCCTTACACGCACAAAGTTCCATCGCTGGCGAGCAACATGCATGGGAAAAGCAATGATGCCCGATCTTTGCTAAGCACGAATTCTTAGCTTCCCACTGTTTCTGTCCAGACAGGAAGGGCCACTTCCGAAAACAACAACATGTTGTGCGTGAGGGGTCGGATGCACCTATACAAGTTGCTACTCCAAACTCCCATCCACAGCCTCAACACAAATAGATCCTCAAGACTATCCTCAAGAAGAAGCATCTACAGGGTTATGCCAGCCACTGGTTCAATGATTGCATTTTCAATACATCCCCATGAGACCCTGCCAGGCAACTGGTTCTGCCGCTCTGGTGCCGTGAAATCCTTGACGGTGGCCCAAGTGCAGCTGTCCTCAAGCGATGGTTGACTATCAAACGAACTTGGTGCTATGAGACGTGCATAGTCTGTCATAGTATAATATAGTTTTTCTTGTTTCATAGTGCATTCATTGTGCAACCAAAAAGGTGTTGTTATTTGATGGATTTTCAACATCCCAACCCTTACCAACATTCTGTACATCATGACGATGCTCATACACTCGGCAAATGACCATTTGAGCGCCCCGAACAGCTGGCAGGAGAAAAGTGCAAACTGATTGAGCTGTTTATGTGGTGGGGCTCAAAGTTGACAGAAGGGAACCACTTGGTTTGGTGGAGGCTGAACTTCATCAAGATCCGTGCGCCCCTCCTCTTCGATGGCTAGCGCCCCACTCTGGACGCGGAAGTAGCCCTGCTCACCCCAGTACTCGCCTGAGAAGCAAACGACTTCATCCAGTGGAGACTTGAAAATGCAACTTGAGAGTCATGCACCAAGAAACAAACTATTTTGACATGTGAACGATGATCGCTTTCAGTGTCCTTCAAAGCTTCGTCACCCTTCTGCATCGAAGTCCAAAACATCGGTCCCGCGGAGCTCGCGCGGTGGGCGCCCGGTCTGACCGCGACGGGCGTCACTAGGCCCCGCGCCCCAGGAGTTGCGGACAATCCAATAGAGGCCCAACTGATCATCGGTGCCCCAGCCGACCACCGAGATGGTATGGTCGGTCTGGCTGCTCCTCGGGGCTTGGCCCGGGCTCTGTGATTTTTGTCAGATTCTTCATGATCTTTCGATGGGTTTCTCGAAATCCATCGAAATTCAAGTGGTGTGTCTGAGGGCACCTGGAGGCAACATGTTTCTAGTTGTTTGATGTTGCTTGTGTGATGTTTTGGCTTTCGGGGCTTGGCCACCATGGGTCGCCGCCATTTTCAGGAGCAAAACTCCTCCCTGAGCTCCAGACTTGGCAGTGACAATGCCCGTCGTGTAGTTGAGAATGTAGTTGGCATCCACGTTGCAAGCGATGGGCCCCCGATTGAAGATCTCTTTCATCATGGCGTCTTTGCCCTTGATCGAGCCTAGTAGTTTCGATGGCGCCCGGAAGCACCGGGTCATGTGGTACCTCGACCCATACCTATCGACATCTGCGGGATCCTGGTGATTGTTTAATTAAGCTGTTTGTCCCTTCCACTGTCAGGAACCCCTCAAATCAACCCTGGCTTGATGGATTTTCGTTGGCGTTTTGGACATTTCGGACCTCCGCGGTGACTTGGTGGGTGCAAACGGGAAAAACTGCTGTGGTTCAGCCAAGTGCGCCATACTCTGCCACCGTGGCGTTGGGATACTTCGCCAAGCCCACGCAGCTCTTCCCGAAGGTCGCGCAGGTGCGCTGCACGTTCTCCGCGCTGCAGGTGAAATCAGCATCCTGTGGCATGTGAAATCAGCTCAGGGGTCAAATCGCCCAAGGCACTCTGTGGCATGAGTGTCTTAATTTCAACATGGACAAGGCTTAATGGAGGAAACGTGAACCAACGCGTCGCTCTGTGGGTCCCTGTCCTTTTACACGTGCCGAGTGCCGATTTGTTCCCATAAAGCCTCCCACACAAATACGCCATTTTGGGTCGGTGGGTTGTCCGACAGCGAAGGAAACGGTCCTAAATTGGGCAGAAAAATCATCCAAATCGGAGAACATCATCAAATGCCAAGCCAACCCCATGCCTT